AATCGCAGTTGACTTCCCTGGCTATTTGTATTAGAACTTGCAAACTAAAAAGTGCTTCCCTCGTTTCGAGTCCTGCTCTGAATCCAAATTGAACTTCACTCAGGTGTTCTTCTAATTTGGTTTATATGCGTGAGTGAATGATAGTAAGGAGTACTTTAAGTACATGGCTCATCAAACTAATTCATCTATGTTCTTCACATTTTCTAGCATTGGCTTTTTTAGAAAGTGGAATGAATATTGATAGTAGCCAGTCTTTTGGTAAGTAACCAGTCTGGTAGATGTTGTTGAATAGCTTCGTAAGAGCTGTGATTTGGTGTGTCTCTAATAGCTTTAAAATTTCACTGTGCACCTCATCAGGTCCTGGTGATTTCCCATCTTTAATCCACTTAGTGGCCATAGTTGCTTCTTCGTGTGCTATTTCTGGGCCGTAGGGATTGTACAGCCGGACTTCGTGCTGCTTCTTCCCATAATTCTTGCATATATTCCTTCCACCTTTGTAATTTCTCTTCAATGTTGATCAAAATCTGCCCTTCAATGTCTACAACTATGCCTGTATCGCGTTGTTTTCTGGTATTCTGTACCTCTTTTGTGCATATGGAAATCGACATGTTTGCATTGTAGTGTTTCAACTTCCGTACATTTCTCCGTCGGCCATGCTTCTTTTGCTCCTTTTGTCTACTTTAGTCTTATCAACTTTTTGCATTCGTTTTTATTTCTACTTTTTAATTTTCTTCGCTCTTCCATCATCTGTAATATTTTATCTGCCATCCATTCTTGCTTCTATTCTTTTTTTGAGTTTAGATATTCATGCGAAATTGTGGTAATGGATGTCTTCATTACGTTCCACTGTTCTTCTATGCCTCTAGTAGTGTCTTCAACTATTTTCGGAAAATTCTTATTAATCTGTTTGTCCTTTTTTCTGGGCCTCATTTTCTTATGAATTATTTTGAGTCGTATGTTGATATTTGCAACCAACAGACTATGATCTGAGAAGACATCTGTGCCTGGATATGTTTTTGTTGAGGTGATAAAATTTCTAAACCTTTTGTTTATGTTGATAAAATCAATTTGGTTTCTTATGATTTTCCCTGGTGTATCACCAGACGCTTTCCATGTATAAAGTCTTCTTGGATGTAGTTTAAAGAGTGTATTCGTTACAACCATATCCGTCTCTTGGCAGAATTGGATTAGTCTTTCTCCTCTTTCGTTACTTATGCCAAGACAATATGACCCCACGACATTCTCGACTGTACCATGTCCTATTTTGACATTGAAATCGCCCACGATAAGTTCATGTTTTTTGTTCAGTTTTAGAGAGTCTTCTAGAGTCTGATAGAAATTTTCTATTTCTTCTTCAGTGGATTCTGATCTTGGTGCGCAGGCCTGAATGATGTTTATATTAGAGGGACTTGAGTTAATTTTTAATAGCACAACTCTGTCTGATATGGGCGTAAATCCTATTACGGCTTTAGCTATTTCCCTTTTTACTATTATCGCACGCCATCTGTTTCTTGTTGTGTCATCCCCAGAATAATAAATATGGTGTTCATCTATAATTCTTATTCCAGAACTTTCCTTTCCAAACATTTGTATTAGAATTTTTTGATAAAACAGGATATATTTATAAGTATAAAAATGAAAAACCACAAAAACATGTTTTTAAGCCCGTCCAAAAAAATCGTCTTAAAAGAGTTATTTTTTATGAATTTGTTTAGCTTAAATTGATCTCTATTAAAATTACTTGAAATTATTTGCGTAGCATATTTCTTCAAAAAGTTTGTATAGTTTGTATAGTCTCTAAAAAACTGTACCAGTAATTTTGTGGACCACTGTACGTATTTTTATTTTGTCTTATGTTATACAACAAATCAAAACATTTCGTCATATTTTCGTTTACAAAATATAAAAATAAAATCACCTGCATTTCATAAAACATAATACATTCCTGATAAGATTCTTCTTAAGAAAATACGACAATTATTACAAAAATGCTATCTTGTAGACAGACGTCGAGTACACATTGTCGACTGTCACATGTTAATTTTTACGATTTGAAAATATTAACGTCAGTCAAATTTTACATGTTGACGCAAAACCAAACAAATGCGTAAATCTAAAAAAGTTAAACACAGACAAAGTTGGCATATTTATTATAGAATTAAGGAAATCTTAATATTGTTCTGAAACTCTTCCTTGTTCCTACATGGAAAACTCCATTTTGTCACTTTATGTAATAAGTACTAATAATTTATAAACATTTTTAAATACAAATATAGCACCTAATCGTTTAGTCACATATCAAAATCATTCCACATGGCCATAAATAAAGTAGTTTCAGATAAAAATTTCAAAAACTAGAATGCTATAAAGAAACAGTTTTAAAATTGATATTTTTTGGCAACCACCAATACAAAATTCTCCACAAATATACATGAATAAAGTCATATGGTTCAGCGGCTTTATTTTTAGATCGAAATAATCAATCCCTTATAAAAAATATCCATTACAATATACCCTTGAAAATTCCTCAATCACAGCTTTTACTTTCAGAACAGTAGGTGTAGTTTATTGGTACTTGAATGGTTTCATTTTATTGGGTTTTATTCGTCAACATAAAAACGATCAATGAATAGAACTATAGTTAAAAAAATATAGTTGGTAAATAAAATGACACCTAAAAAGCAAAATAAGTATACCTTGGCAATTTGACGGAAGTTTATTTATTAAAAATAAAAAGATCTATTTTAACTAATTTTGTCCTTTAATAACACGATTAATCAAATAAATCTTCTGACTAGAGCAGCTTTACTTGACCATTTGTATATATTCCTCACTTTTTGGGTCAAAATATTTAAATTTTTTTTTATATATAAAATTAAATTGTTTAATTAAAAAAATAGAAGATAATAGCAAAATATAATATTTAGGACAACTAAATATGATTTTAATATAATCTAAAAAGTACTGCTATTTGAATTGGAACGACCAAACAATCGAAAACTAGGAAGACCTTGTCGACCTTGACCTCAGGTTGGTCAACGCCCTTATTTTTCTCATTGCTACATACGCAGCTAAAACATGAACTTTTAAAAAAAACTTATAGAAGTAAGTTCAAAGCTTTCGAAATGTGAATCTACAGAGGAATTCTGCCCTTGTCCTGGATGTGTCAATTCTGGATATAAAAAAACAGGCATTAAAAAAAGTGAACAGAGCATACTTAAATCCGTTCGGCCACAGCCAGAAGAACGGGACTAGGTTACTATTGGTAGTAGAAGAAAAGTTAGAAGATCAAAAACCAAGAGAAAGATCTTAAGCAAGATGGGCAGACCAAAGGAAATGGAAACTTTGGTGGCAAAATGATGGAAGCCGTCCATCCAGCACAGGAACGCAGCCAAGGGAGCAACAAGCTGCAAGCTGCAAGCTTATTTATTTAAAGTTATTATTACCACGCCCTGGCAAGTACCCAAGGAATGAGAAGAAGTGAGTTGCAAAAACTACAGCTTCCTATAAACCGTGCAGATTTTCGGAAACAATCCGTTACGGAGCAGATTTTGACATAAAAACACATATTAATATCTCATATCATATCTAGCATATCTTTTTGTAAGCTTTATATATTTTAAACAAGCTTACGAAAGAATATATAAAAAAATTCTTGTGAACTTGCTTTGGATAATAAGAATTTCATTGCTGTACCTGATTCATGAGTTAACCATAAAATTGCTACAAAAAACTGGTTTATATGAACCCTAGACGTGCAACCAGCTTGAATAAAACCAATGTTGCCCTATTTTTTGATAATTTGAAGTGCGGTTTGGAAAAGTACAAATTTGAAAACAAGGATATGCGGAATGTTGATAAAACCGGGCGCAAACAGTACAAATGCCAAATAAAATTGTAGCAGAAAAAGGAGTACGTCAAGTAGGGAAAGCTACGTCAGCGAAGAGAGGGCAAACGGTTACTATGGTCTTGGCTATGAGCACTATAGGAAATTTGGTTTCACGAGTAATTTTCAAAAACGATTTTATCAACTACGGACCACCAAGCTACATCGGATCTTCCTACCCATCAGGATGGATTACATCCTAATCATTTTTGAAGTTTATTAAATACTTTTAAGACCATGTGAGATCTGCAAAAGACCATCCTTGTTTGTTAGTTTTGCACAACCATGAGTCACATCCTTCTATTGAAGTGCTTAATTTTTGTAAAGAAAATGGTATCGTCATGTTGTCACTCCACCACACACTTCTGATCGCCAGCAAATTCTTGACAAATCAGTCTACGGACCTTTTAAAAAATTTTATTTTGCTTCAGTTGATGATTGGATGACGAACAATCTAGGTAAAACAGTGACAATTTACGATATTTCTGGCATCATAAAATTGGCACTGCCCAAAGCAATAAATCTTACGAATATTATTTCTAGATTTCAAGGCTCAGAAATAGCGCACTGCAACAAACACGTGTTTACTGATGCTGACTTCTTGACAAGCTAATTTACTTATATAGAGAGATGACTTTTCAAAACAGCGCTATCGAACATGCCTGAGCGGGAGACAATACAACATCCTTCAAATTAAACACTCTGGTAATGAACTTTGATAAAATGAAAGGCAAATATCGAGCACAGTTTTATTAATTAAATCTTGCCCAAGTACTTTCGCCTCATAGAGCATCTTCAGAGGTATTTCGTCAATTTTGGGTTATCCAACAATCGCATAATGTCATACACTTAAAATTAAATTTAAAATTGAACATAACACTACACTAAACAAGTACAAATAGTTTAAAATTATTTTAAAAAGTCGAAGCTACATTCTGGTCAGCAACAGGAGAGAGTTGATTCTCTCTCTCTCTCTCTCTCTCTCTCTCTCTCTCTCTCTCTCTCTCTCTCTCTCTCTCTCTCTCTCTTGTCAAGCAAATGTAAGTAATATTGCTGATCACGTAATAAAAAACTCCCACTAATTCAACTATATATTATATTTTAAATTGCTTACCCCATGGGGTTCCCTCTTCAACGAAGTTGTCAATTGTTCGGTGGAATAGATGGGAATATCCATATCACTAACATTGGAAGAAATGCTTCCTTCTCTGTCAGTTTTCTTAGGAATCTGGAGCAAAGCCATCGCCTGTTGTTCAGCTATGGTAGGACTCTTGAGGTAGTGGCTGGGCCTGATGAAACCGACTCCCTCGTCATCATCGTGATCCATATCGGGGGACGACACTAACACAGAAAAACGGACTTTTTTGTTGGAATCCAACTTTAGTCAGAATGTGACAAAGGGGGAACAGGGGTATCTGAAAAAAATAATAAATTCGTTTTAATAATTGTGAAAAAATATGGCAATTATTAGAAGAGAAGAAATACTAGTCTGGAATTTTCTTAATTATTTAGATAGATCTATATATGAAATAAGGAAAATTCGATCCCGACAATACGAAACTTTATCCAAAGTTGGCTTATCCTAGTTGATTTAATTATCCTAAAACCAAAGGTTTCCAAGTCATTGGGAAAAATCTGTAAGAAAAAAGAAGTACTTGTTGACTCAAGTACAAGTCAAGAAACAAAACTTAGTTTGGGTGGCTGGAGTCAATAAAGGGGACTGTTAGATAACTATTTTTTAATTACTCGAGCTTTCAATTGTGGTTACAATTATTTTCAACAGCTAAACTAAAAATACAAATCATCTGATAAAGTGAAACGAACAATTGTGAAAATGTATTGTAACTCACCAAATAAAATTGGGTTTGTTAATGAATTTGCTGCAAAATTGATTTAAAAAATAGTATTAGGAAACCTTTGGATCTGATAAATGTTCTTCTTTTTGAATTTTTAAAAGATTATTTGAAAAATTATTTAAAAAAAAATTTGAATTTTGATAAATTATATACATACAATTAAGAAAAGCAGTCAATAGAAAATACCTACAAATAACAGTTAATGTCATGAATGCCAACTTCGAGAGAGTATTAGTTTGTAGTTTAATTTATTTTTGACAATTATATTTCCAGCATGAAAATTTTTAAAAAGGTTTAATAAGAAAAAAGAAGATTTATTTGTTATTCACAGAGAACCGAAAACATGTAACATGGAAAATAAAAATACCAATGTGATGTTTTGGTGGTTTTATAAATAAATTATAAAAAAATAATTTAGTTATAAATGTTTTATATTATATCTTATAAATGAGGTTTTGAATTTCTAATCTTTTGTTAAATTATTGTCGCTTTTGCTAATACACAGAATCTCTAAAAAGGGTCCTTTTGCATTTATTGAACAAAATTTTAATGTTATCAAAATCCATATGATCTTCGTCAATTACATGCTCTGCCAAAGCACAACATTTGATGTTTTTTGTTGTTATTTTTATATTGTCAATAACCCATGGTATTTATAAGGCAGTGAATGATAATAAAGGGTGTTTTTTTTCGAAATATAGAACTTTGAAATGGAATAAAACAAACATGATATTTATAATTTGACATAACATCCAAAAGATTATCTTTGGCATTATAATTTAAATGGTTTCTGGTATATGATTGTCATGGTTGGCTCTGACGTAGTCTAATCAGGAAGTCTAATTTCAATCACTTTTTCCAATATTTGTTACTGTATATCGGCAATAACGCGGCGAATGTTGCCCCTCAAGTAGTCAATCGATTCATGCTGTTCGGCGTAGACTAGCACCTTCACATATCCCCACATAAAATAGTATAGCAGTGTTAAATCGCACGATTTTGGAGGCCAATTCACGGTCCGAAACGTGTAATTAGGCGGTTACCAAACGTTTCCTTTAATAAATCAATTGTGGCATGAGCTGTGTGACATGTTGAGCCATCTTATTGAACTAATAGCTCCTGCATATCATGGTTGTCCAATTTGCGAATGAAAAAGTCAATAATCATGGCTCTATAGCGGTCACCATTGACTGTAACGTTCTGGCCAGCATCGTTTTTGAAGAAGTTGGTCCAATGATTCCACCAGACCGTAAAGCACACCAAACAGTCAGTTTTTCTGGATTTAATGGTTTCTTAACGTACATTTGAGGATTATCTTAACTTCAAACAGAGGTGTTGTTTGTTGACGAAGCTATTCAACCAAAAGTGAGCTTCATCACTAAACAAAATTCGCTTATGAAAATCGGAATCAACGGCAATCTCGTTTTAGCCCACTCACCGAATCTACGCCTTGCTAGGATGTGATGTACCTTCAATTCTTACATGGATTGGATTTTTTAAGCAAGCAAAGCAAGATGTTTACGCAAAATAAAGTGGATAGACACATATCCGCCCGCTGTGCACGATGGCAGATAGACTGATTTGGGTCTTTATATATGCTACGCTCTATAGCAGCAACAGCTTCTTTTCTAAGCACTGTACGACGTGTCTGTGGATGCATATTATCATATATAGTAAATATGGTGAAAAAACGTTTCATGGTTAATCGAATTACTAGCTGTGATGGACTATTAAGTTGACCATAAAATGGACGTAGTAGGCGATACGTATTTCGAACAGAACCACAATTTTGAACTATTGAATAAATTTGAACAATTTACGAGCGTTGTTCACGCGTCAAGTCTATTCATGCTGAAATGCCAAACTAAACTTAACATAAATCACTTGACAGCTGTCAAAATGGTCGACAGTTAAAAAAGTGCTACCAACTTATATTTATATACTACTACTACTAAGGATTTCCACAGTTTTCACTGTCTTCCTTCACTCAACCGTTTTCTCCAATTTTCCCTGTCATTCCAGTCTCCATCTCGCAGGGTTCTTTTCTCCATAGCCTCGTCGATTTCGTCTCTGAATGACCTTCGGGGTCTTCCTCTCTTTCTTCTTCCGATCGGGCTCCATTCTGTGATTTTGTTTATCCAGCGTCCTCTGTCCGCTCTTCTGACGTAGCCGTACCAGGATAGTCTCTTCTCCTCTATATAGTCGATTATGTCTGATTGCACTGATATACCTCACTTTAAACATCTATTAGATTGTTCTGAAGCTATTTTCTTGTGGCATTTTAAAGTAATTATTATTTAAATAGGAATAAGCCACAATTAAAGGTTAAAATACGTTTATTAATGTTTCAATTTCCACTTCGGAAATCGTTCTCAAAATACAAACATTAGTAAATTAAAAAAATGTTGTTTTTTTTGTTACTTAGTAAAAAATTTTTCCAACAATTTAATTTTATCTGACTCATTTATATTGACAATTCACCAACAGATGAAGAAAGTTCTTTGTAATTTAACCGTGAACTTACATCTCCGACTCAAAATCCTTAATTGTTATGTGTTTTCTGTTCTTATGTATGGAGCAGAGGCATGGACACTCACTGATGCGTCTTATAGACGGTTGCAGTCTTTCGAGATGTGGTGCTGTAGTCGCATGCTCAGAATATCATATGTACATTATATAGTGAGAAATGAAAATAAGTACAGTATCCTACTATTGATATTAGAAGCGAAAATAGAACGAAATAGAGGACCAGGACGCCGCCGAATATCCTGGCTTAAGAATTTGAGACAGTGGACAGGTATGACCACCACAGATCTATTTCGAACAGCTGCTAATAAAATACAATGGGCCATTGTGTTAGTCAAAATCCATAGAGGATAGGCACTAGCTAGAAGAAGAAGACAGAGTGCTAAAGACAGTGTTTTTTGAGAAATCAGATTGTAGAAGATCAGTAGGCCGTCCCAGAAAAAGATAAAAGGTTGATGTTGAAGCTGATTTATCTAAGATTGGGGTACAACAATGGGAAATGAAAGCGCAAGATTGTAAAAGATGGAGGGCTATAGTGAGATCCGGCGAAGATTCGCCCCGAGTTGTAAAGTCAGTCAAGAAGAAGAATTTATAGATGGCGTTAGAAAGAGTTATTTTTACATAATATTTATTTATTTTTTTATTTACATAATTTTATTATTTACATAATTATCACCTTTGTTAAGTTGTTTTTGTGTTTTCTTTGACGGATCTTGTTTTATCTTGTACAGTTCGGTGTAGTAGGTTTGATATGTTTTATAATTTTAACCTTAGTATTATAGCTTACTCTTTTCTTCTCCCAGAACTACTAATAAGATAATTACAAACTAAAGTGAAATTACCAGAAAAATTACGTGCGGAAAATTTGAAATCCGAATCTCGAAGGAAAAATGCAGAAAGATTTTAAAGTCAAGTCACATAACCAACTGTACAACTAATATAGATCACTGCAGATTGATTCCCTACGATCAATAAATAAATAAATCATCATCACAGTCATTAACATCTGAGTAGATGTGTTGTGGTTCATAATTGGGCTTCAGCAGCTCGGACAGTTTGATTGATAATATTTCTCCACTGGTCGCGGTCATCAGTTATATGTATTGCCTCAGTATACTGTTTATTGAGAAGCTTTTTAGTAATGTCCGCCCATCGCTGTGGAGATCTTCCGCGTTGGCGTTGAGTCTGAGGCCTTCCTTGGACCACCAACCGCTCCATTTTGTGATCACTTCGATGGATATGGCCAAAGAACTTTAAAATTCTAGAGTAAACGGTACTGGAGAGACGCTGATCCGGTTTAATTTCATCCAGAACCCAGATATTTGTACGGCGAGCCGTCCATGGAATTCGAAGCAGGCGTCTCCATGTCCACATTTCAAAGGCGTCTATACGTCGTCGATCTGATTCTTTGACTGTCCATGTCTCGCATGCATAGTAAAATATGGAAAAGACCAGAGTTGAAACGAGTCTCTTTTTGTTTGTCATAGTAATGTGACGATCACGCCAGACCCCGTTTAGTTCACTCATTGCTGCTCTTGCTAGTTGAATGCGTCTTCTAATTTCGGATTCACAACTGCCTGTGTTGTTAACTAGAGCTCCAAGATATATCATAGATGAGACTACCTCGCATCCCGCAATAGTTTGGGTTTCAGGAAACTGTTGTTGGCGATCAATAACCATGATTTTGGTTTTGTTGTAGTTAACCATGAGTCCAAATTTAGCACTTTCTACCTCGAGTTTTTTTAATAATTTAATAATTTCTTCTGGAGTAGAGGCTAGAAGTGTAGTGTCGTCTGCGAAACGCAAGTTAGATATCTTAACACCACCTAGGTTTACTCCTCCCTCCCAACCATCCAAAACTCTGCGCATTATGAACTCCGAATAGATGTTAAATAATAAGGGAGATAAAACGCATCCTTGGCGTACTCCCTTCTCCAAAGTGCATTTGTCAGACAGATATCCGTCCATTCGAATATATGCCAGGTTATCGTGATACAGTTTGCTAATAAGGTGAGTCAAGTGTTTAGGTACAC